ATTACGCAACGAGCAACAAGAATTTATGTTAAAACATGCAGAGCTCATCCATACTAAACTGATAGTACACTCTCTAAGGAACAGTCCGAGACCTTAAAATTAACGCACATTTATAGCACCCGTTATAGAACACGTGTTTAGCGCGAAAACAAAGCATTCTTTGGGAAAGCAAATGAATTTTTGTCGTTGAAGTCTGACACAATAATGATAAATAATATTAATTGTCAGATAAGCCTTTTCTTAAAAGTAAAATTCTCTAAAGAAACACGAGGTATTACTAAAGTTAGTCTGATTGAAAGGTGGGCGCGCTAAGCACCTGTTGATTAAACCACAATGACGTTTTACGATGAAGCAGTCCTGGGATGTCGTAAAAAGGACCAATGTCAGGTGTTTTGGGTAATTACTGAATATCTGATATGAACTGCCCTCATATACAGTCCTAGAAACTAGTGGAAATGTTGTGAATTGCTCTGACAATGCCCCCAGCCGGGTAGGTACAAAGACCCATCGAGGTTGGAGCCTTCCCTGAAAAAAAAAACCGCCTGTGTTTACAAAAGACAACGAGTTAAGCGCAGACAGCAACAGACTATTTAATTAACCTATTCAGGGCTGGGCGAAAAATCGGCAGCTACGCTGTCAAGATTAACAAAATAAAACAAATCAGTGAGGTCCATGAACAAAGAACAGTTTGCCTTTAATGTTTGCCGACAATATAATTACTTCATCAAACAAAACCAAAGGATTTATCAAACGGTAGATACTAACGTCAAGGTATATTGTGAAGCTTCAAGTATAAAAATGCTTGAAATAACATGGCTCCGTTTATTAATAAATAAGGTGTATTGACATTTGTAACAGATTCTAATGTGTGCCAATAACATCTCGGAAAATAACTTGTTCGCTTTCGTCATAAGTCAATAAATGCTATTAGGACTGTTCAAACATCTGACAAAGAGTTTCCATTAACTATTCAAGTTTCTTACGGAGCACTTAATTACCTTATCACTATCAATTAAAATCAAAATTAAAATCAAGAAGCCAGCAAACTAGTTTGAGGTACAGCTACAATCTAGTATGAGGTACAGCTACAGAGTAAAACACATGCCTTATTGATTATCCGCATGACAAATGCGTTTGGTAGTAAACTCGAACTGAAAATCACACTGAAAAGTTCATTGAACTGGCTTTAAGATGTTGTATGCGTACTGTGATTGATAACAATGTGTTTACGAGTATATCAGTGGAAAATTTTTTATTCTGGCTAGAACCAGCCGTCAGCGTCTTTCAAGGCAGGTCTAGTCTAGCCGACAGTGCTTAACTTGATAAACATGTCTCTGTTTAATATTGCTATATATTTTTTACTTATGAAACAAATAAGGAAGTTCATTGGGTCTCCTTCGGTTCAACCGTATCACCATAAGTATTCTGTTCCCAGTACCGATTAAAGCATGCATGTCCTTAGTTGCAAAGCAACCACAAGTCGTGCCCACTCGGGTAAAACAGAGATGTCCTGCCAAGCGCGTTAGAGAACACGCGAATGTAAAACTACTTCTCTGCTTTAAATCAAACTTTCATTTTGTAGACTCATGTTTAATTTAGCGATAAATCATGCACACAGCGTGATTCAAAACAAAGATTTCAACCACTGATACATCACAGCAGTGTGTGAACAAGCAGGAAAACAAGTAAAAAAGCTACACTGTATCTTGGAATGTATCTAAACATGACTCGTACACCTATACATCGAATTATGAATGTTTTTTCTTAAAAGTACTGTAAAGGCATTCTTGCAGTTTATCAAATTTAGTGATTTTGACTTCTTTTATCATAGAAAATGCCAATAATGAGTGCTCTTAAGGCAAGGTGCGCGTATTACCCTTTTCGTTTCTAACTCTCTGAGTTCCTTTACAATCAAAGATGCTCAAAACTGAACTGAGAGACTCCTAGAAGATTCTGTTAATGACTACTTTTTTCACGTGTTCGTTTTTATCAATAATGTCACTGCAATCTAAGTTTATTAATTTCAATCCTTGCGCAAATTCCTTGAAATGATTATGTCACGTCAGCCAATGAAACTTGTAAGCCTTAATATCATGAACTACTTGGGGTACATTTGATCCCACTCGGGACTTCACTCAGTACATACGCTCGCCGAGAGAATCGAACGAAAATTTACAAAGTTAAACTGTATTGCTTTTCACTTAGGAGGGTGCCCAAAATCAATGTCCCCTACATTAGAAACTGATCGGTTAAGTTTGAAGTTCACCGAGTTTAAATGACCCCCTGGCTTGTTCAAGGACTTCAAAATAACAATGTATATTACATAACTATGTTATAAGATGAAAATCAGTCATCGCGCAATCACAGCATACTAGTAATCCAGTTTTTGCTGTTCACTGACTGTGGGCCGGAATTTATGTCTTCACTTATTTCACTGACGCGCCCATAAATAAGTGACTTAAAACACCAACTTAATATCTGTGAATTAAAGTTAATTGAGCATTTATCACAAACGTAGCTCAAACAGTGCCTTCAAAATATAGACGACAAAGTGAGACTCTTATGAAAACTTATTTTCCGGTTGTTTTGAACAAGCGCACCAGCGCTTTCCATTCTTGAATCATTTGTTTTCTTTCACGCCCTCGTTTAACATACTGTAAAACAACTTACAAAGCTCTCATTATGGCAGCTGATATTGCTTCTCTGATATTATTTGTAAGAGGAGTTCGGCAAATGACGCCAGTATTAGTAGTTCTTGTTTTGTTGTTTCTTAGACTTAGTGTTTTAACTCAGTTTATGGGCTCGATGTTAGTACAGGGCATGCATACAACCTCTTACAAGACTTGCAACTCCTGCTTCAACGTAGGTTCAACATTTCTTGTAATTCAAGCGTTCATTTTCTATCGTATTAAGGATAATTAAAAGACTCAATCGTAAGGTATTTATTCATTTTGGTAAGTACTGCTTCAAGTTTGAGGATACGCAAAAACTACGCCGGACCCAGTACGTACTTCGGTCACTGAGTTAAACGCCCGTCAAAGTCAAGGCAAACCCTCCAAGACGTCACCATACATGCAGTACTCACATGAGATTTCGAGAAACATCAGAAAGACATTCAACGTTGTTTGGCCGCAGTTTTTCTTTCACCAGTAGAAAATAAACAACTCTCACTGTTCAGGAACAAACCAATGATCAGTGAGTACGTTGAACCTTGTTGAATGGCAAAGACAAATAAAAGACGTACCTCCATCAGTCTTTTTTTCCCCATGAATGTCAAATAATTTTAACAATCAGTAAAACAACGCCTCCTTCGGCGCCACGTTTGCCGGCTGTTTAGACCACTAGGTGTGTGCGTCTTTGCTTCAGGCTTTCAAGATAACATCTTGACTGGTGGTTTCCGTCTTCTAGTTTTCTTTAGAATTCGGCGCTTCTTATTTAGCCACCAACGAGTCAATTCAAAAAGTGTGAAGAGTGTTAGAGCAAGTTTTCTTGACCATACTACTGAGGCGTCGACTGCAAACTGAAGCAGGCACACAACAGCTGTCCAAAGTTATAAACCCACAAACTGCACTCCCTGTAATCATTTCCTATAGTTAACTAAATTTCATTGATATCTCTTTTAAATGATACTATCGCTACTATCATGTAAAAGACTTATTTTGATTCGGGGTGAATTGAACCCAGATAGCGCTAAACAAAGAACTGACAGTAAAATTTTTCACTTCGTGCGCTTTTGAGGTCAACAAATTTTTCAAGGACAATCATAAAGCAAATCAAGAATTCTATAATTACAACGTTGTGACACTAGAGAGACTTCTCAATGCATATGGAAGCTGAATTGGCTAACGTCGTTTAGGGCGATAATTCAGCGGGCTGATGAAGCTTTTCGACAGACATTTTGATTCAGGTAATGTGTTCAATTGCTTGATGGGAATTAAGACGCAATCAAACATCTGCTAAATAATATATTTAGGAGCATTATACAATTTTGCTTTGGTAAACAGAAAACTATTTTTATCTTACACCAATATAAAATTGTAGGGTCCTCTGATAAAAGCAAACAGTCATTAATGATAACCGAGTCTTTGGTCACATAAAACGATAGAGTGTTCATAATAACTAACAGTTCAATTTGACACGATTAGCATATCAAGAATGTCGACTAGTAGTGGATCTCGAATATTGTGGGATAAATTTAAGGAGCATCCTTCAGAACGAACTCATTCTTTGAAAACAGAAATTCCCAAAACGCCTTTTAAGAAAATGTTTTGGAAATATCGAAATGAGGCCATTCTTGGAAGTTCAAGGTCCTGCTTTGAAAACTAAAGCTATTTTGTGTAACGAGAGACCAGGTGTCCATGTAAGACTATTTTCTATAATGTAGGCTTTTCCGCTGGCTCAAACAAAGCCGACATCAGGAAATTGCTTTAAATTCAATATTTGTTGAGAATTTAAAATCTTATTGTAAAAAGAAAAAAGGAAAATTGGGGCTGATGAGTCCGTCAGTTTACTAACAACATGGCAAAATTAGAGCGTAATAAATCTACAAAGGAGGTGGTCTTTCCTTCATTCAAAGAAGCCTTTTTACCAATTACCAAAACAGATTTTTGGCAGGATAACCAAAGGCTTTGTTTGACGAACCAATAATTCTACGAAAAGCTAAGCAAAAGTAGATTTCTTTAATAGAGGCGGACTGCGTGGTTAGATTGGTCACTGTCTGTTTTACGTCCCAACCTTGGCATTGCAAACAAAAATAATAAAAAATCAAATATCTCCTCTAAACATACATATCTCCTATTCACAGATAACTCGATTTAAAAAAAAATCAAACGAGGCAACGCCGAAAGAAACAAATGTTATTCTGTTATCTCTCACTTACAGCGAGATTGGAAATTACATTAACACACTTCTTTTCAAAGTTGCAACATTAGTTCAGTTCCTGAGCCGAACAGAAAAAAAGAATTTATTGCAATTTTATTGATATTATTGACAAACTTTCTCGACAGACATTATTATACATTAGGTTTTATACAGTATTTACAGTTATAAATCTTAAACATATTATTATTTCCATAACTTTCTCGTTTACGCCGTGCGCCCATTGTGAAAAGCAAGCCGTATTCCTGCCTACTAAACAAAACTGAAGCAGCGTTTTAAAAGTAAAAGATCTATTTTAATTGACTGACCAAACCTACGCAAAAAAAACTTGCGCGAACTTAGTTCCAATCTAGGGAAATATCTATTTTATGGCGACAAAATATTCGAGGAAATGGCCAGCAATTTGGCAGTTTCCGAGCTTCATTGTTCGATTGATAAATCGTTACATTTCCTATCAGGATACTAATTTTTTTTACCTCGACAGCCGTAGGGGCTAATTGGAGAAGAAGTCCGGGACGGAAGCATAGTACAATAAGCCACAGTTGTGTGGCCGATAACCTTCAATTAAAATATTATAGCACATCATAAATAGTTACATTTTGATTCCTGTGAGGGCTTATCCTCTGCAAGAAGCTTGCATCTATCTCGGCGACCAAAGAAGGAATAGCTATATGTCCTTAATTAAACTCCATTTAGATGTGTCCATAGGTTGGATGTGGTCGGATTATACAGGGTAGGGCATGTCCTGTTGCTGGGCTTGGGTAGTGTGAAAAGTGATGCATTTGAGTAGGACACTGCGATGTGCACAAAATCCCTGCACTGTAACCTGCCAGAGAAGCTGCGTGCGGCAGAGTAGTCGGCCGCGGTGGAGCGGTCACATCGACGCCAGGATTTTGTTTCTTCCATTTAGTGCGTCGATTTTGAAACCAAATTTTCACCTGTGTTTCTGTTAGACTCAGCGATAGGGCCAAGTTAAGTCTCTCGCAAACTGATAGGTATCTAGTACTCTTAAACTTGTTTTCTAACGCGACCAGTTGTTCATACGTGAACGCAGTTCTTGCTCGTCTGGGTTTTCCCTCCTTTGAACGTTCAGAGCCGCCACGCTTTCGCTTTGATTTAGAGCTCAGTGAAGTAGATTTAGTTTCTTCATTCTCTTGAATATTTGACGATTCCTGAGCACTTATCTCTTTTTCCAGGCATTTTTCAGTTTCTGTGCGAACATAATAAGAAGATAAATATTTAAAAGAGCTCCTAAAATCAGAACTTATTCCGTATTTTAGATTAACAGACATAATTCAATAAACAGGTTAATTCATGATTTAAGAGACACCGCTACGCCGCCTGGCGAAATTACATTTATCAACGGCAAATTAGTTGGTTAAACTGTGGAATCGCAGTACTTCAATGATTTTTCTTAAGACATTTTACAGTGATTTACGCGTTGCTTTAAATAGTTTTTAAGTTAAACGGCTGTGCCTAATGCAATCTCAGAGCGAGTAACTAATAAATTAATGTAAAGAAAAAATTTACGCTTTATCTTTAATTGATTTTTAGCGTGTTGCATAGTATGATAGAATTAAAGTAAAACTGTTCCAATAAAAGTAGGGAAATATTGATACCATGCCCAGTAGATTGAATTTTAACATTAATTAAACAGCCGGAGTGATGGGACATACGTTTAGAATTGATGAGTATTCTTACCAATCGTCTTTTGTGCTCGGTTAAATCGCGTTGAAGCCATCCATGGGTGCCACGGAGAATTATTTCTTGATTCCTCTCTGCTAAGGCTTTCAGTTTCTGAGTCGCTTTCACTTGTTCGTCTCTTTGGGTTGTTAAACTTGTGTGGATCCAAAATGTCTTTGACAGTAAATGATGTGACTGCGTGTCTTGATTCTTGCAGCAACTCATCCTCTGCTCCTGAAAGTTCTTGTGCATCACCGCCATCAACGCTGGTTACACTTCCTCTACGCCTGTTGTCAATAAGAGAGTCGATAGAAAAGCGATCATTGCCTTGCATGGTGCTATCTACTCCTCAGTGTCTTAACAATGCACGGCGAGAGTGTTTTGCGCCCTGTCGCTTCAAGCGCGCATTCACGGAGTTACGAAACCTTTTGCCTTATCCTATTGGGGGTGGACTAAAGTCGGTGTCTATACATAAGTTAAGTAGTGTGTGGCGGTACAATAGAAGTCACTGTCGGTAGACGAGCTTGTTTTGATTGCTGTGTGCACGCATAATTGTCATCCAAATTAACTGAATGATTTGACAGCGTCAAGTGGTGATGAGTTGTTATAGCGATTAGCACCTAATGCACACTTAAGGCAGAAAAAACCCCACTTTAAAATAATTGTTATAGTGAAAGATAAAACCGTTCCTCCAATTTAGGCAGTTTTGATGACCATAAAACCAAAAAATAAAAATCCGAGGGAACGTATTTAAGCTCAAGGAGGGGTCGAGCGAACAAAGACTCCCATCTTGAAAAAGGCTAGCATTCATTGGTTTATGTAACGCATTGGCTGACGCACGAAAAGGGCTGCTGTGATCTTGCCGACAAAAAAATTAAATTCATCAAGGAAGTCTTTTAAAGATTTCCGTGCCAATAAATTGCTTACGATTAAATCCTGTTCGAGTCTAATGACCGGCTATGATATGCTCTGTTTCTTCGATTTGCGAGTTTCTTCGAAAGCGACGAATTTCCGAAAATGCACCGATTTCTCCGAAAGTAATACTGAGAAACCCTAAAAAATAAATATTTTTGCTTGTTTATCATTATACACAGAATAGACTGCAACTTTTTCAGCCAAGCCGCGTTATAAATAGCCTGCTGTTAACAAAAGATAAACTGCACTCTTGCTTGGATGTTTCTGAAGAACGTCGATCGAGAAAAACAAACACATTAAACTTCTTAATTGAGATGCAATCACTGTAACCATTCCTTCTAGTAAAATTTGTTTAACAATCGTTAACAAGTATACGTTGAGAAATACGCTTAAGACATTGTTAAGAACCGTAACGAGAAAAAAACATCCTTCGCTTCCACTAACTTTCCATTTCAAGAAACTGAGTATTTTTCTTAGAGAAAACCCCAGGCTTTGAGAGGATGTTGGTTGCGATAGGTGCGACACTAAAAGGCCGCTGTTTATTTACTGGCGATTTTTTAACTAATTAGTACGTATCAGAACCTTATCGGTGTAATTTTCTTTGAAATGATCGTTTAGGCTTGCCATTTGCCGACCGCTTTTTCGTCCGCGATAAGGCGGTCAACGATAACAACAACGCTAATAACCGGAGCAATTAGGAACAATCCGCGAACCACAGAGGAGATAATATCTAAAAATATTCCCTTCCCCTTGTGTCACACTCTCTACAACGGGACTGTTAGTTTTTGATATTTGACGTTAATGAGCTTTCCTGTGTCGGTGCCTGTGACTCAAACCGCGCAAGAATTCAATAGTTTTTTTAAACAATAAAGCATTATACAATTCAAATATTATGAATGTCTTATATAAATACCGCCATTGTGGCTTTCCAGTAGGCAACTTTAAAGGCCTTGCAAATCTGGATGTGTGGTTGACATAAATAGGGCGTTAAATGTTTCCTTGGGCAGACAGTTTCATTTAGTAATCTAATAGTCTTGTAAATAACTATTGGAATAGAGAAGTTGCTTTTCTGTTACACATGACACTGCAAATTGCTTTTATTAAGTTTTATACAATTTCGATTAATCCATGTGAGTAGAAACCGGTTCAATGATTTGCATTGTTCTTCACAAAAGAGCCACTTGCAATGAAGTTATTATCCCAAGACAAGCACAGGAAATTAAATCATTAACAAAGAAAGGCTCAAAGCAAAACGCTTTGCTAGCCTCAAGGGAAATTGAACATCATTAAGAAAGAAAAACCAGTAACAAAAAGCAACGTTGACCACACTATATTAACGCCGAAGTCAGATGTTGGCGCAAAGGGTTCACACATCGCTTAGGTTGAAAATCATGAACGAAAATGAAACAAGTCGTACAAAAAACGAATATTAATGCAAATATCCCTTGAGTTATTTGTTTATAATCATAAGAACAAGCAAGTCTTACAGGTCCAATTCACCCTCCAAATATTTGTCCATGATTATCTTTTTAATAAGTTTATGATTTGTTCACGAACCTGAACGTGCCAGCTGGAGGTTATAAAAAGTAAACAATTTCGTGTGAAATGAGAAAAGAATCAAAACAAGAGTGGTTAATTTACCCCTAAGTAACCAGAAAATATAATACGGGTGTTATTGATACATGACGAAGGAGGTATCGCAAAATAACAGGGTTTTGAATGTAGTTGAAACAACAGGTTTGGACCATTCGCGATCGTTGATTGGATACCCAAGGCAAACACACGTTCAAGGAAGACTCAAAATACCAATTATCCTATTTTATTGTAAACAAATACACTTAACAAAAAAGGTTTTCTTTACAGAGAGGATATTGTTGTAAAATGATGACAGTGTACCTTTAATTACGCTATGTGTTTTTTTACTGTTTTATTGTTTCACAGAGCACACATGGGCTGCTTTGTTGTCAACAGATGGATTCACACGCCCGAGCGCATCAAAGTTTTTTTAGGCTGTAAAAGTTACGCTTTGCATCATATTTATTAAGGTTGGAATTGTTTACGCTTGTTTACGCTCAGTAGGAAATAGCTAAATATTATTTTGAGCCATAACTACTGAACCAATGCTGTTAGTGACACGTAAACGAAAGAAAAGAGCTCACAAGGCCTCCATTCACTCTTAAGTCACAGAGTTCGCCGGTTTACTTAGTACACTGGGCTTTTTGGCAGAAAACAAGGAAAGAACTGGAAAGCTTGGTTATCATTTACACAGCTGAAAGTAAAACATTTTGCCAGCACCCAGCTTTTTTTTATTTTAAAAAGACGGGTCACCTTTTAATACAGCGAAATTTGGAATCCATCAGAACCACTTTTCAAAGTCGTTTAAAGGTTTAAAGTGGACACAGAAAAATACTCTTACAATGTAACGAAATTGCTATTAAAATTATATTTTGCATATGTTTCAAGTCACATTTCATCTTCAGTGTCATCTCACGAAGAAAACCAAGGAAAAATAGCGAAGACGGTTGACATATGTTTGCGAGTGCTAAAGGAAAGCAACAAAAGTATGTTCGACAGCTACAGTCGTCAGGAACAGTGTATTGATCATATCCCATATTACCTTTCGGGACTGTCGCGTGCACATTTTTTCCGACAACCTTTCTCGAAATAGCTGTATACAACAGGGCTCTGAGTGTCATAAGAACCCTCGGCTTTTTTTTGCTTTGCTTGGTGGTCTCAATGAATAACTTTTATCCTTCCCACTTGGTTTCAAAAATTTCTTTTGAGAGCTTTTCAGTCCCAGAAAGGCATGACAAAAATTCTTTTATGGAAGTGTTAAACTTTAAAGACATGGTAGCGGCGGAAGAACATATTCAAAATATATGAACAAATGAATAAAAAACTAAATATTATATTTCCAATTACAAGCCATGTCCAATTTAATCCGCATCCATCGCCAAAAGGTTTCAGAACACTGCGCAAGCAATTGTTAACAGAACGAGATTCCGACATGAAAACACGAGATGGCATTGGCCTCTTCTAAGATACCGTCACTTAAGGTGCATTCCAGTGTCCCACCCCAGCCCAACCTTCGTCAAAGAAGTGTTAGACAATTTGACTTTTGAGGGTGGGGTAAGTAGGGTAAGCCGGTTTGGCTAAATATACGGAGAAACCCCGTTAATAAGGATACTAAGGGGGCCATAGAAAGTGTCAACTGTCCGTAAAGGGGGTTTGACTCTATATCCTTGGAACAAATAAATTCTTCCGTGTAGTCTTATGTTTACACCAAAAACTTAGGAAAATATTTTCAACGTAGTAGAAGGCTTAGAAAAAAAAGTACCACAACCTGCCCCCCAACCCCCCCCCCCTAAAAGGTCAAATAATCGGTTCCTACGAAGACGGAGCAATAAGCCATTTTCCGAGTTTCCCCGGGCCTCTGTATCAAAACGAGGTTAAGTGCTCAGCCTTTGATATGGAAATAACTTTTCATTCTCATGCAAATAAAACTCATTTTCACAAGAAAGGTTGTGCACTTGGCCTCATTTTGAAAGTGAGGGTTTTTGGAACTCGGAAGTTGCCTATAAATAAAAAAAGGGGTTCAATGAGGTTTGTAATGGGGGGGGGGGGGGGGGACCCCTCTCAGTGGGCATAAATAGATTGTGCTCGGCAACTTTTGAGCAACTTTTAGCGTTTTGAGCAACTCTTTGTAGTACCAGCAACCTAGGGCAACTTTTGAGCAACAAATTGATATAAAACCGATCCAAACCATAAAAGGTCGTTTCATTTCGAAGGATTTTATCAAAACTAGTTTTATCAAAACTGATTTTATTAAAACTAAGAATATACAATAAAATGACAATAAAATAACACTTGCATTACGCCCACGAAATCTGGACAGCGGCTATCTGTATATCTGTAAGAGTATATTGATTACACCATAGTATTTATATTTTTCATATAACAATGGCTTTTGGCCTCTTTTAATGATTGTAAGAATATTTAATAAAAATGTTTAAATGGCAACAAATAAACAAACACGTTTTGAGTATTTATCTAAAACAAAACGACTCTAGAGCCAGCAACTTTTCTAAATTTTGGTGGCAACTTTTTGATATTTGAGCAACTTTAGAGCAACTTTTGGGTATACTGTAAAGCAATTTTTCCTGAATTTACTAGCACAATCTATTCATGCCTACCTCTCAGCTTCTCCTAAGCTTTCAAAACGCACACCAAATATATTAATTCTCACATGTGGGTTTCCGCAAGTGTTTGTCATAAGGGCCAAGGTGAAAAGTGGTGAGGCTTCACACAAGACGAACTGACTCGCACCTTTGTCAACGTGAGTTCTTAGACAGGCGAAAATTAAAATGGGGTTTTTAGATATCTAAATGCGATGTGACAAATGGATAAAGACTGGCGGGC